CTTAAGTCGGTTTGAGTTTGTCTTAAGTCGGTTCGGGTTCGTCTTAAGTCGGTTCGGGTTTGTCTTAAGTCGGTTTGGGTTCGTCTTAAGTCGGTTTGGGTTCGTCTTAAGTCGGTTTGGGTTCGTCTTAAGTCGGTTTGGGTTTGTCTTAAGTCGGTTTGGTTTTGTCTTAAGTCGGTTTGGGTTTGTCATAAGTCGGTTCGGGTTTGTCTTAAGTCGGTCTGGGTTTGTCTTAAGTCAGTTTGGGTTTGTCTTAAGTCGGTTTGGGTTCGTCTTAAGTCGGTTTGGGTTCGTCTTAAGTCGGTTTGGGTTTGTCTTAAGTCGGTTTGGGTTTGTCTTAAGTCGGTTTGGGTTTGTCTTAAGTCAGTTTGGGTTTATCTTAAGTCGGTTTGGATTCGTCTTAAGTCGGTTTGAGTTCGTCTTAAGTCGGTTTGGGTTCGTCTTAAGTCGGTTTGGGTTTGTCTTAAGTCGGTTTGGGTTCATCTTAAGTCGGTTTGGGTTTGTACAAAGTCGGTTTGGGTTTGTCTTAAGTCGGTTTGGGTTTGTCTTAAGTCGGTTTGGGGTCATTTTATAGCCACAGAGACTTGATAAATGGCCACCACAGCAACATGACCACCACAGCAACATAGCCACCACAGCAACATAGCCACCACAGCAACATAGCCACCACAGCAACATGACCACCACAGCAACATAGCCACCACACCAACATAGCCACCACAGCAACATGACCACCACAGCAACATGACCACCACAGCAACATAGCCACCACAGCAACATAGCCACCACAGCAACATAGCCACCACAGCAACATAGCCACCACAGCAACATGACCACCACAGCAACATAGCCACCACAGCAACATAGCCACCACAGCAACATGGCCACCACAGCAACATAGCCACCACAGCAACATAGCCACCACAGCAACATAGCCACCACAGCAACATAGCCACCACAGCAACATAGCCACCACAGCAACATGACCACCACAGCAACATAGCCACCACAGCAACATAGCCACCACAGCAACATGGCCACCACAGCAACATACCCACCACAGCAACATAGCCACCACAGCAACATGACAACCACAGCAACATGACAACCACAGCAACATGACCACCACAGCAACATGACCACCACAGCAACATGAACACCACAGCAACATGGCCACCACAGCAACATGGCCACCACAACAACATGGCCACCACAGCAACATGACCACCACAACAACATGGCCACCACAACAACATGGCCACCACAGCAACATGGCCACCACAACAACATGGCCACCACAACAACATGGCCACCACAACAACATAGCCACCACAGCAACATGGCCACCACAACAACATAGCCACCACAACAACATGGCCACCACAGCAACATGGCCACCACAACAACATGGCCAACACAACAACATGGCCACCACAACATAGCCACCATAGCAACATGGCCACCACAACAACATAGCCACCACAACAACATGGCCACCACAGCAACATGGCCACCACAGCAACATGACCACCACAGCAACATGGCCACCACAGCAACATACCCACCACAGCAACATAGCCACCACAGCAACATGGCCACCACAGCAACATAGCCATCACAGCAACATGACCACCACAACAACATAGCCACCACAGCAACATACCCACCACAACAATATAGCCACCACAACAACATACCCACCACAACAACATACCCACCACAATAACACAGCCACCACACCAACATAGCCACCACAGCAACATAGCCACCACAACAACATACCCACCACAACAACATAGCCACCACAACAACATACCCACCACAACAACATAGCCACCACACCAACATAGCCACCACAGCAACATAGCCACCACAGCAACATAGCCACCACAGCAACATAGCCACCACAGCAACATGACAACCACAGCAACATGACAACCACAGCAACATAGCCACCACAGCAACATGACCACCACAGCAACATAGCCACCACAGCAACATGACAACCACAGCAACATGACAACCACAGCAACATAGCCACCACAGCAACATAGCCACCACAACAACATAGCCACCACAGCAACATAGCCACCATAGCAACATGACAATCACAGCAACATGACAACCACAGCAACATGACAACCACAGCAACATAGCCACCACAGCAACATAGCCACCACAGCAACATAGCCACCACAGAAACATAGCCACCACAGCAACATGGCCACCACAGCAACATAGCCACCACAGCAACATAGCCACCACAGCAACATAGCCATCACAGCAACATGACAACCACAGCAACATGACCACCACAGCAACATGGCCACCACAGCAACATAGCCACCACAGCAACATAGCCACCACAGCAACATAGCCACCACAGTAACATAGCCACCACAGCAACATGACAACCACAGCAAAATGACAACCACAGCAACATAGCCATCACAGCAACATGGCCACCACAACAACATACCCACCACAACAACATAGCCACCACAGCAACATACCCACCACAACAACATAGCCACCACAACAACATAGCCACCACAGCAACATACCCACCACAACAACATTGCCACCACAACAACATACCCACCACAACAACATAGCCACCACAGCAACATAGCCACCACAACAACATAGCCACCACAACAACATACCCATCACAACAACATAGCCACCACAGCAACATACCCACCACAACAACATAGCCACCACAACAACATACCCACCACAACAACATATCCACCACAACAACATACCCACCACAACAACATAGCCACCACAGCAACATAGCCACCACAACAACATACCCACCACAGCAACATACCCACCACAACAACATAGCCACCACAACAACATACCCACCACAACAACATAGCCACCACAGCAACATACCCACCACAACAACATAGCCACCACAGCAACATAGCCACCTCAACAACATAGCCACCACAACAACATAGCCACCACAGCAACATGACCACCACAGCAACATGACCACCACAGCAACATAGCCAAGACACCAACATAGCCACCAAAGCAACATGGCCACCACACCAACATAGCCGCCACAACAACATAGCCACCACAACAACATAGCCACCACAACAACATAGCCACCACAACAACATGGCCACCACAGCAACATGGCCACCACAGCAACATACCCACCACATCAACATGGCTACCACATCAACATACCCACCACACCAACATAGCCAAGACACCAACATAGCCACCACAGCAACATGGCCACCACAGCAACGTAGCCACCACAGCAACATAGCCACCACAGCAACATAGCCACCACAGCAACATGTCCACCACAGCAGCATAGCCACCACAGCAACATGGCCACCACAGCAACATACCCACCACAGCAACATAGCCACCACATCAAAATGGCCACCACAGCAACATACCCACCACACCAACATAGCCAAGACACCAACATACCCACCACAGCAACATGGCCACCACACCAACATAGCCACCACAGCAACATGGCCACCACAGCAACATAGCCACCACAGCAACATGGCCACCACCCCAACATAGCCACCACAGCAACATGGCCACCACAGCAACATAGCCACCACAGCAACATGGCCACCACAGCAACATACCCACCACACCAACATAGCCAAGACACCAACATAGCCACCACAGTAACATGGCTACCACACCAACATAGCCACCACACCAACATAGCCACCACACCAACATAGCCGCCACAGCAACATACCCACCACACCAACATACCCACCACAGCAACATGGCCACCACACCAACATAGCCACCACAGCAACATAGCCACCACAGCAACATGGCCACCACAGCAACATGACCACCACAGCAACATAGCCACCACAGCAACATGACCACCACAGCAACATGACCACCACAGCAACATAGCCACCACAGCAACATGACCACCACAGCAACATAGCCACCACAGCAACATGACCACCACAGCAACATAGCCACCACAGCAACATGACCACCACACCAACATAGCCACCACAGCAACATGACCACCACAGCAACATAGCCACCACAGCAACATAGCCACCACAGCAACATAGCCACCACAGCAACATAGCCACCACAGCAACATAGCCACCACAGCAACATGACCACCACAGCAACATAGCCACCACAGCAACATGACCACCACAGCAACATAGCCACCACAGCAACATGACCACCACAGCAACATGACCACCTCAGCAACATAGCCACCACAGCAACATGACCACCACACCAACATAGCCACCACAGCAACATGACCACCACAGCAACATAGCCACCACAGCAACATGACCACCACACCAACATAGCCACCACAGCAACATGACCACCACAGCAACATAGCCACCACAGCAACATGACCACCACTGCAACATAGCCACCACAGCAACATGACCACCACTGCAACATAGCCACCACAGCAACATGACCACCACAGCAACATGACCACCACAGCAACATGACCACCACAGCAACATAGCCACCACAGCAACATGACCACCACAGCAACGTAGCCACCACAGCAACATGACCACCACACCAACATAGCCACCACAGCAACATGACCACCACAGCAACATAGCCACCACAGCAACATGACCACCACTGCAACATGACCACCACAGTAACATGGCCACCACAGCAACATGACCACCATAGCAACATGACCACCACAGCAACATGGCCACCACAACAACATGACCACCACAGCAACATGGCCACCACAACAACATGACCACCACAGCAACATGACCACCACAGCAACATGGTCACCACAGCAACATGGCCACCACAGCAACATGACCACCATAGCAACATGACCACCACAGCAACATGGCCACCACAGCAACATGACCACCACAACAACATAGCCACCACAACAACATATCTCTGGAGTGCCCACAAGGTTCTGGTACAAGTTTAACGATGTCGTTAAACAGACGAAAATAAAGATGTTATTCCTAGACTTTGGCCGTAAAGGTTGCCATGGCAGGTGGATGGCAGGTGGATGGCAGGTGGATGTTGCAGGTGGATGTTGCAGGTGGATGGCAGGAGGATGGCAGGTGGATGGCAGGTGGATGGCAGGTGGATGTTGCAGGTGGATGTTGCAGGTGAATGGCAGGTGGATGGCAGGTGGATGTTGCAAGTGGATGGCAGGTGGACGGCAGGTGGATATTGCAGGTGGATGGCAGGTGGATGTTGCAAGTGGATGGCAGGTGGATGTTGCATGTGGATGGCAGGTGGATGTTGCAGGTGGATGTTACAGGTGGATGGCAGGTGGATGGCAGGTGGATGTTGCAAGTGGATGGCAGGTAGATGTTGCAAGTGGATGGCAGGTAGATGTTGCAAGTGGATGGCAGGTGGATGTTGCAAGTGGATGGCAGGTGGATGTTGCAAGTGGATGGGTGATGGATGTTGCAGGTGGATGGGTGGTGGATGTTGCAAGTGGATGGCAGGTGGATGTTGCAAGTGGATGGGTGATGGATGTTGCAGGTGGATGGGTGGTGGATATTGCAGGTGGATGTTGCAAGTGGATGGCAGGTGGATGGCAGGTGGATGTTGCAAGTGGATGTTGCAGGTGGATGGCAGGTGGATGGCAGGTGGATGTTGCAAGTGGATGGCAGGTGGATGTTGCAAGTGGATGGCAGGTGGATGATGCAAGTGGATGGCAGGTGGATGTTGCAAGTGGATGGCAGGTGGATGTTGCAAGTGGATGGGTGATGGATGTTGCAGGTGGATGGGTGGTGGATGTTGCAGGTGGATGCGTGGTGGATGTTGCAGGTGGATGTTGCAAGTGGATGGCAGGTGGATGGCAGGTGGATGTTGCAGGTGGATGGCAGGTGGATGTTGCAAGTAGATTGCAGGTGGATGTTGCAGGTGGATGTTGCAAGTGGATGGCAGGTGGATGTTGCAGGTGGATGTTGCAGGTGGATGGCAGGTGGATGTTGCAGGTGGATGGCAGGTGCATGTTGCAAGTGGATGGCAGGTGGATGTTGCAGGTGGATGGCAGGTGGATGTTGCAAGTGGATGTTGCATGTGGATGGCAGGTGGATGGCATGTGGATGGCAGGTGGATGGCAGGTGGATGGCAGGTGGATGTTGCAAGTGGATGTTGCAAGTGGATGGCAGGTGGATGTTGCAGGTAAATGACAGGTGGATGGCAGGTGGATGTTGCAGGTGGATGTTGCAGGTGGATGGCAGGTGGATGGGTGGTGGATGTTGCAAGTGGATGGCAGGTGGATGTTGCAGGTGGATGTTGCAGGTGGATGGCAGGTGGATGTTGCAGGTGGATGGCAGGTGGATGGGTGGTGGATGTTGCAGGTGGATGTTGCAGGTGAATGTTGCAGGTGGATGGCAGGTGGATGGGTGGTGGATGTTGCAGGTGGATGTTGCAGGTGGATGGCAGGTGGATGTTGCAGGTGAATGTTGCAGGTGGATGGCAGGTGGATGGGTGGTGGATGTTGCAGGTGGATGGCAGGTGGATGGGTGGTGGATGTTGCAGGTAGATGTTGCAGGTGGAAGGGTGGTGGATGTTGCAGGTGGATGGGTGGTGGATGTTGCAGGTGGCAGGTGGATGGCAGATGGATGTTGGAGGTGGATGGCAGGTGGATGTTGCAGGTGGATGGGTGGTGGATGGCAGGTGGATGGGTGGTGGATGTTGCAGGTGGATGTTGCAGGTGGATGTTGCAAGTGGATGACAGGTGGATGCTGCAGGTGGATGTTGCAGGTGGATGTTGCAGGTGGATGACAGGTGGATGTTGCAGGTGGATGGCAGGTGGATGGGTGGTGGATGTTGCAGGTGGATGTTGCAGGTGGATGTTGCAGGTGGATGGCAGGTGGATGGGTGGTGGATGTTGCAGGTGGCAGGTGGATGGCAGATGGATGTTGCAGGTGGATGGCAGGTGGATGTTGCAGGTGGATGTTGCAGGTGGATGGCAGGTGGATGGGTGGTGGATGTTGCAGGTGGCAGGTGGATGGCAGATGGATGTTGCAGGTGGATGGCAGGTGGATGGCAGGTAGATGTTGCAGGTGGATGTTGCAGGTGGATGGCAGGTGGATGGCAGGTGGATGGGTGGTGTATGTTGCAGGTGGATGTTGCAGGTGGATGTTGCAGGTGGATGGCAGATGGATGTTGCAGGTGGATAGCAGGTGGATAGCAGGTGGATGGCAGGTGGATGGGTGGTGGATGTTGCAGGTGGATGGGTGGTGGATGTTGCAGGTGGATGGGTGGTGGATGTTGCAGGTGGATGTTGCAGGTGGATGGTGTGGACAAAGGTCACCATTAACTCCTCCAGGGCGTCGTGACACACTGTGTATAGTGACACACTGTGTATAGTGACCCACTATGTATAGTGACCCACTGTGTATAGTGACCCACTGTGTATAGTGACACTGTGTATAGTGACACACTGTGTATAGTGACCCACTGTGTATAGTGACCCACTGTGTATAGTGACACTGTGTATAGTGACACACTGTGTATAGTGACACACTGTGTATAGTGACCCACTGTGTATAGTGACACTGTGTATAGTGACACACTGTGTATAGTGACCCACTGTGTATAGTGACCCACTGTGTATAGTGACCCACTGTGTATAGTGACACACTGTGTATAGTGACACACTGTGTATAGTGACACACTGTGTATAGTGACCCACTGTGTATAGTGACCCACTGTGTATAGTGACCCACTGTGTATAGTGACCCACTGTGTATAGTGACCCACTGTGTATAGTGACACACTGTGTATAGTGACCCACTGTGTATAGTGACACACTGTGTATTGTGACACACTGTGTATAGTGACCCACTGTGTATAGTGACACACTGTGTATAGTGACCCACTGTGTATAGTGACACACTGTGTATTGTGACACACTGTGTATAGTGACCCACTGCGTATAGTGACCCACTGTGTATAGTGACCCTCTGTGTATAGTGACCCACTGTGTATAGTGACACACTGTGTATAGTGACCCACCGTGTATAGTGACCCTCACTTGTATAGTGACCCGTTATCACCATCAAAGTCACCATCATTACAATCACCATCCAGTGATGATGGTGACCTGTGCAAGAATATGATATTATCACTGTCACTATCACCAGTGGGTTCTGCAGGTCTGTGTTCAATCCCCGACCGTCCACTAAGGCCCGCCCGTCCATCCCCATCCTCTCAAATGGTGGTATTTTCACATATATATCCCCCCCCCTTAAGGTCCGAAAACCCCCCGTAAGGTCCTGAAAATTCCCCCCCCCCAAGGTCCAAAATCCCCCCCTAAGGTACTAAAAATCCCCCATAAGGTACTAAAAATCCCCCCCTTAAGGTCCTAAAAATCCCCCCTAAGGTCCTAAAATTCCCCCCTAAGGTCCTAAAAATCACTCTTAAGGTCCTAAAAATCCCCCCTAAGGTCCTAAAAATCCCCCCTAAGGTCCTAAAAATCCCCCCCTAAGGTCCTAAAAATCCCCCCTAAGGTCCTAAAAATCCCCCACTAAGGTCATAAAAATCCCCCCCTAAGGTACTAAAAATCCCCCATAAGGTCCTAAAAATCCCCCCTAAGGTCCTAAAAATCCCCCCTTAAGGTCCTAAAAATCCCCCCCCCTTAAGGTCCTAAAAATCCCCCCCCTTAAGGTCCTAAAAATTCCCCCCCTTAAGGTCCTAAAAATCCCCCTTAAGGTCCTAAAAATCCCCCCCCCTTAAGGTCCTAAAAATCCCCCCTAAGGTACTAAAAATCCCCCCCTAAGGTACTAAAAATCCCCCCTAAGGTCCTAAAAATCCCCCCTAAGGTCCTAAAAATCCCCCCCTAAGGTACTAAAATCCCCCCTAAGGTCCTAAAAATCCCCCCTAAGGTCCTAAAAATCCCCCCTAAGGTCCTAAAATCCCCCCTAAGGTCCTAAAAATCCCCCCTAAGGTCCTAAAAATCCCCCACTAAGGTCCTAAAAATCCCCCCTAAGATACTAAAAATCCCCCTAAGGTCCTAAAAATCCCCCCTAAGGTCCTAAAAATCCCCCCTAAGGTCCTAAAAATCCCCCCTAAGGTCCTAAAAATCCCCCCTAAGGTCCTAAAAATCCCCCCCCCCTAAGGTCCTAAAATCCCCCCCCCTAAGGTCCTAAAAATCCCCCCCCCCTAAGGTCCTAAAAATCCCCCCTAAGGTACTAAAAATCCCCCCTAAGGTCCTAAAAATCCCCCATAAGGTCCTAAAAATCCCCCCTAAGGTACTAAAAATCCCCCATAAGGTCCTAAAAATCCCCCCTAAGGTCCTAAAAATCCCCCATAAGGTCCTAAAAATCCCCCCTAAGGTACTAAAATCCCCCCTAAGGTCCTAAAAATTACCCCCCCCCCTCTTAAGGTCCTAAAAATCCCCCCTAAGGTCCTAAAAATCTTTTTTATAAATAAATAAAAATTTATAAAATTCTTTTATACATAATTTTATTTATAAAATAATAAAAAAATAAAAATCGTTACCTCTTAAACTCTTAAGAGAGGCTAAGAGTAGAACTCTTAAGAGAGGCTAAGAGTAGAACTCTTAAGAGAGGCTAAGAGTAGAACTCTTAAGAGAGGCTAAGAGTAGAACTCTTAAGAGAGGCTAAGAGTAGAACTCTTAAGAGAGGCTAAGAGTAGGAGTGATTACCCAAGATGGAACAGATGGGGGGGGGGGGGGTGTTTAAGATCACAGTCTTCGTGAATCGCTCTTAAATCATGCAATTTATGCCTTGAAGTGTTCCAGCATGTTCCTTGTTCCTTGTTACTTGTTCCTTGTTGTTCCTTGTTACTTGTTCCTTGTCACTTGTTCCATGTTCCGTGTTCCGTGTTCCAGCTCATAACTTGTTACTACCTTAACAGTGATACAGAATTAAGTAACAATATGTTTAACAAATTATTAATGAGTATTTATAGCCGGTGGCTGAGCGGACAGAACACTGGACGCGTGATCCTGTGGTCCCGGGTTCGATCCCGGGCGCCAGCGAGAAACAATGGGCAGAGTTTCTTTCACCCTGATGCCCCTGTTACCTAGCAGTAAATAGGTACCTGGGAGTTAGTCAGCTGTCACGGGCTGCTTCCTGGTCGTTCGAGACGACACCCTCAATACTGGATATCCAGAAAGTGAAATAAAAGTGGACTTGATATGCAAGGAGTCGCCGAGATAGCAAAAAAATAAAGGGTTCAAGATATTACACTTAATAAAATGGCATAAAATCCTAAGATATCGTAAGTTATCTTCCCAGACAACGATAACTAACATGTATAACACGTGAAGAGACGGAGAAATGTATATATATGTGTATATGTATATATATATATATATATATATATATATATATATATATATATATATATATATATATATATATATATATATATATATATTATTAAATATGACCGAAAAAGTAAGATTAATAATTCTAACACGAATTTTCTCGATCTTTCTTATGTTTCTTTTCACTGTCGATGGTAATTGAAAAATCAATTCTCCAAAATTCATTTTTATTTCTAGTCTGACGCGACACTTGAACGCGTTTCGTAATAACTTATTACATTTTCAAAGACTTTTAGTTTACACACACACAACTTTTTTTTTTTTTTGAGATATAAACAAGAGTTGTTACATTCTTGTAGAGCCACTAGTACGCGTAGCGTTTCGGGCAGGTCCCTGGAATACGATCCCCTGCCGCGAAGAATCGTTTTTTCATCCAAGTACACATTTTACTGTTGCGTTAAACAGAGGCTACAGTTAAGGATTTGCGCCCAGTAAATCCTCCCCGGCCAGGATACGAACCCATGACATAGCGCTCGCGGAACGCCAGGCGAGTGTCTTACCACTACACCACGGTGACTAACTATTACCTGCAAACACTAAACAGAGTTCTTACTACGCTATGATTTAAACAGCTTTCATTTTTCATTTTATACCCTCATTTTGGGTGAGGAGAAATGTTACAACAATTTTGGATGAGGTGAACAAAACTTTCAACACAAGATAGAACACGAAACAATGGGTATTGAAGGTAAGAATGGAAGTAATTGTAGAAAGCCTATTGGCCCATATTTCTTGATGCTTCTATATTAGAGCGGAGTCTTGAAGTGGTAGAATATAGTTGTGCATTAATTGGCTGTTGATTGCTGGTGTTGACTTCTTGATGTGTAGTGCCTCGCAGACGTCAAGCCGCCTGCTATCGCTGTATCTATCGATGATTTCTGTGTTGTTTGCTAAGATTTCTCTGGTGATGGTTTGGTTGTGGGAAGAGATTATATGTTCCTTAATGGAGCCCTGTTGCTTATGCATCGTTAATCGCCTGGAAAGAGATGTTGTTGTCTTGCCTATATACTGAGTTTTTTTTAGGCTTACAGTCCCCAAGAGGGCATTTGAAGTCATAGACGACGTTGGTCTCTTTTAAAGCGTTCTGCTTTGTGTCTGGAGAGTTTCTCATGAGTAGGCTGGCCGTTTTTTTTGGTTTTATAGTAAATCGTCAGTTGTATCTTCTGATTTTTGTCTGTAGGGATAACGTTTCTACTGACAATATCTTTCAGACCCTTTCCTCCGTTTTATGAGCTGTGGAAAAGAAGTTCCTGTAAAATAGTCTAATATGGGGTATAAGTGTTGTGTTAGTTGTCTCTTCAGAGGTTAAATGGCGTTTCACCTTCCTTCTTATGATGTCTTCGACGAAACCATTGGAGAAGCCGTTGTTGACTAGGACCTGCCTTACCCTACAGAGTTCTTCGTCGACTTGCTTCCATCCTGAGCTGTGGCTGAGAGCACGGTCGACATAAGCGTCATATTTAATAATATATGTCTACAGGAAAGACTGCTACCAAAATATACTAATATATATATATATATATATATATATATATATATATATATATATATATATATATATATATATATATATATATATATTATTAAATATGACCGAAAAAGTAAGATTAATAATTCTAACACGAATTTTCTCAATCTTTCGTACATTTCTTTTCACTGTTGGAGGTAAATCAAAAATCAATTCTCCAAAATTCATTTTTATTTCTAGTCTGACGCGACACGAGCGCGTTTCGTAAAACTTATTACATTTTCAAAGACTTTAGTTTACAAATACACAACTGAATAGAACTTACGCATCTCCGATTTTATATCTACATTTTAGTGAGGTGGATGGGGTGAGGTGGCATTAATAGGGTATTAATTTCATCAACATGTGGATGAAATATATATATATATATATATATATATATATATATATATATATATATATATATATATATATATATATATATATATATATATATGCGAGATTCGAACCCGGGTCCTC